GAACCGGACTGATGCTCCTCGGAATGGATATGGAGCCAGGGCCATAAGGACCTGTTTTATCCAAAAAAAAAAAAGGAAATAAAAAACAAAGAGTGTGAGCTTGCTATTGCTCGTATGCTCGTGTGAGCGTTGCAGTTGGGGTCCTCACATTGTGCGCGGCTGTTGACGTCATCTCTAATAGAGGGCAAGGAGGGACAGGGATTCTTAACCCCTGCTAATCCGTGTCAGATGAGAGATTCTTCGCCATCCACGAACCTTCCCATCCCTGCGCAACACTTCCCCCTCCGTCTCCTCCCCCCCCGGCCGGGTAGCCTTCCTCCCTTGGCGCGCCCTCCCCTCTTCTTCTCCCCTGCTTCCCCGTTTGATCCCGCGCCGACAGGTGGTCTTCCTCCCCTCCCACCTCCCGCCTTTCTCCTCCCTCCTCTCTTCCCCACTCTTCCCTCTCTTCTCCCCTCCCCCCTAATCCCCACCCTCCAATCCCCCTCCTCTCCGCCATTTGCCATTCCTAAGGGCATACTCACCACACTAGCACTTTCTCGACTGAGCTTTAGACCCAGGTCCGGCAGTAATTGCAGTCGGATTCATTGCGGTAGTGTGACTATGCCCCCTGAGCACCAATATCCTTGCTCGCTCATCACGCTGCAGCTCATATCAGCCCAAGTCCATAGAACGCAATAGTCCTGATCTCTTATCCCCGCATCAATCAATCATCACCCCACCACCGCTTCTGTATATCTTGGCACCATTTCAATTCTTTTTTTTTTTTTCTTTTAAACAACATTTCAACTCTCAAGCAACCAAAACAGAAGAAAAATCACATCCCTAAGATTGTCCTATCTACCCCCCCTCCTCAGCCAGCAGCTCATTTCAACCCTCTCAACTCCTTCCTGTTCATTTTCTACATCCCCTGCCGCATCGACTACACACCTCTGTTCCGTGCGCGAGGTTCTGCTTGCCCCGATTCCCTGTTCTTGACCTTAGATATTACATGCATGCATCGAGGGCCCGAAATGCACAATCCGAGCAGATGTGACCTCGACCGGACCTAATGTGCCTCTATGATGGTCCCTTCGTCACCTCAAAAGGCGATTGAAACGTTTCTTCTCTTGAAAAAAAAAAAAAAAAAAAAAAAAAAAAAAGCGCTGCGCCGCACTCTGCTGCAGTGCAATACAGAGACAGCACTGGAGGGCTCAAGTGAGCAAGCCTTTTTTTTTTTTTTTTTTCAGTTTGAAACTTGTATTTCCAATAACTAAGTAAGCAAGCTTACCCGTATGAGCCTCCGTGGCCCAGAAAAATTAATTTAAAATTAATTTAATATCGTGTGGTCCGATGAACCACGGATCAGTTACTAAACTGATCAGAACAGATACATTGCACCTGATCTTACTTAGCCAATAGACCTAGAAAGGTTTCTCTTTTTTTTTTGACCATTCACAATGTTTTGTTTTGGTAAAATTTTTGAAATGCCCCTGAAGTTTGCATTTATTTGCGATTTGCCCCTTCCACGGCTGACTTACCCCGATATGCCCCTTGGCCTCTGAACTTTCGTGGAGGCTGCTGTCAGTGATGGGCACAACTTTTTGGAATGCCCCTACACCGTGTAGTGCATTCTTCAGCTACGGTAACCGCACAAAAGAAAAAGCTGCACTCCATGTCGTGGCCGCTGCTGAAATCCACCATGTAGTGCATTCTTCAGCTACTACGACCCATGGACTTCTGCGGCCCTTGTTCCACGCCTCTCTCTCTCTCTCTCTCTCTCTCTCTCTCTCTCTCTCTCTCNTCTCTCTCTCTCTCTCTCTCTCTCTCTCTCTCTCTCTCTCTCTCTCTCTCTCTCTCACACACACACACACACACACACACACACACACACAGAAGGGCATACCGAAAAGATGCACTGTACCCGTAGGGGCATATGGAAGGTTTTCTGCCTGTACTGAACGGCTCGGTAGGGGCAAACTGGGTAGGGGCAAACTGGGAATTTGGCACCGGTACGGGTAGGGGCATATTGAAAATGTATGAGGCCCAAAGGACACCAAGGTTTTTTTTGGAAACTTGAATCACTGTTGGAGGGGCAAATCAGAGTGACTTGGCCATCAAAGGGGCAAATTGCAAATAAACGCAAACTTCAGGGGCATTTCAAAAATTTTCCCTTTTTTTTAATCAGAACATCCTATCATAACTTTTTTTTTTTTTTTTTTTTTCCAAGAACTGTCTTTTTAGTGTTGGGAAATTACTTGTCCTGGCCAGTACCCGAAGTTTTCGGGGGCCGGACACAGGGGCGGCAATGTACCAAAAATCGTAGTTTTATTTTGCCCGTGCACGAAAGGAAAAGGAAAAAAAAAAAGGCCTTTGTACTGCAATGATGTGCCGTGCTCAAAGTCTTGAATGCATCTTACAATAAAGATGGTCACATTCTGAAACTTGTTCTCTTTTTTTTTTTTCTCTTTTGTTCGTTATGTGTCCCCTGCCAACGAGGCAGGGCGGAATCCGTGATCTGCTCTAGCTGTGTTTCCTCAGATGATTGTAACCCTAATGTATCCAGCCGTTTTCAAGCCCGAATCCGTGTTTCCATTTTTTTTTTCTTGTTTTCTTTTTCTGGAATCTGACAATCTGAGGATGCCTTCACTGAGGGCACACTCACACTAACACTTCCGAGAATGTATACAGCTGCAATCACGCCCAGAGCTTTGTTTCGTTTTCTTGTTATGTAAGTTTTCACGGCCGCAACTTTTTTTTTTTTTTTTTTTTTTTTTGTTCTTCCTGTGAGAGTACCATAAAGAAATGGAGTGGGACCCAGGCTCGGCAAAACTCGGAGCGCATTGAAAATCAGGGTCGGCAAAAACAGGCTTGGAGGTACTAGTGGTTTAGTGTCCAAGTACGAAAAAAAAGAACAATCGTACAGGTTCCAGATTTAGGGGAGGCGAGGTCGCCAACCTACTTCATGAGGTGAAGCGGTCCCGTGGTTTATTTTTTTACTTTTTTTTTAACATGAAACTTAGCTCATTTGATTTCGCACACCGAATTCACAACATTTTTGACACCTTTCCAGCAGTCGGGAAACGGCCCAGCGTCCCTTACATCATTTCAGTGATCCCATTTAAGGGAAAGACATCATCGGTCAAACCCTAAAACCGAACCGCTCCCCACTGCAAATTTCAATATTCCCGTAATTTTCCATTTAAAAAATAAATAAAACGAATCCTACTCATCATAATACCGAAACTCTCTTCCCTTCATTTACCAATTTTAATCTAAAATAAAATAAACAAACCCTAAACAACATTATATATCTTATCCTATCCCTTAAGGAGCATTGGCCACGGGGAGGAGGTCAATGGTCCGCTGCGCTCCAAAATCAGGTTGAAGTTCTTGTGCGGGCCGGGGAACGAAGGCAATCGAGGGCGGGGGGGCGTGCAGACCGGTGCGCGTACCGAATTGTTTGCATCGCGCCCGCAAACCTGAGTGGCCAAGTGCTAACTCGAGTTGTCCTAGAAAAAGACTCCAAGTATACTGTCCCATAAATCAGATTTTTATATCGCCCGCGTGCGAAAGAAAAAGGAGAAAAAAAATGTTATCTCTACTGCAATGATGTCGGGCAGGGTAGTCTTGGAGGCCGTGCTCAAAGTCTTCCTCCATAGAATGCACCTCACCGGTAAGGCGGTCACATTTTGGATGTTACCGGTTTTTTTTTTTTTCTTGCTCGTGTGTTTCTTATAAGTCCCCTGCCAATGAGGCAGTCAATGAGGCAGGGCGGAATCCGTGAATTGCTCAAACCATTCGTGATCTGCTCAAGCTGTGTTTTGTCAGAGGATTGTAACTCTCATCACACTGGTACTAAGGGGAATTTATCCAACAATTTTCACGGTCGGATCCGTGTGTCTGTTTTTTTCCTCTTCTATTATTTTTTTCGAATTTAACATCCTGGCCACGGGGTTGCGATGCCCTCACTGAGGGCACACTCACACTACCACTTCCAAGAATGTATACAACTGCAATCACGGTCAAAACTTTGTTTCGTTTTTTTTTTTGTTTTCTGAGTTTTTGGCCGCATTTTTTTTTTTTTTTTCATGAGAGTACCTGAAAAAAGACGGAGTGGTACCCAGGCTCGGCAAATTCAGAGCGCAGTGAAATTTAGAGTCGGCGAAAACAGGCTCGGAGGTACTAGTGGTTTAAGGAACTTTATGAGAATGCGTGAGAGAAAAAATGAAAAAAAAATTACTGAGGATGAGGAGCAATGACAAAATACTGTTGCGGTGGCATTCGCATGGAAACGAGCATTGAAAGGAAGAGTTTTCACCAAACCATTCACCTCGGGCTTTGTAATTTCGTCTAAAGTTCGGGTTAATGCACTTGCTACTCTGGTTGGGGAAGATGGTGTTCATATAGTTGATAGTGTCATCGCAAAAATTTCTGAGGGGGTCGAGGCTAGTGTTTCATCAAGATCAGGATTTAGAGTCTGCGGTGACACTACTGTGATGGCGACCTAAAGGCTAGCGTGTCCAATGTCAAAAATCGCTTCAGAACTCTTTCTGGTGTAAAGCGATGTCGGCGCGAATACCCTTACAAGGGTATTTGCCCTGGTTTTTGCAGATGACAGGGAAAATAGGTTTGGGTCAAATATAAGCCATGCGAGGCACGACTGCGTCCGGGATTTGCCTTGGCTAAGTTAAGAGCAGTGCTCGCAATCTGTGTGTATGTTGCAAACTGCATCCGACCCAAATCTGGTCTGCAAAAAAAACTACAATTGTACCCAGCCCCAACTGCAAACAAATATTCTGACCAGCTGTCCAAACTGGATAGCTGGTTTTTGCAGATTTTCCAAACTGCACCTAACCCACCCAGAAACCTGAAAAATTAGCCAACTGCAGCCAGCCAGACCAGGACCCAATTTAATGCCACTCTGGCTGCCCAGACTGAAATAAAGTTGTAGGCCTATCTGCAGCCAGTGGCAACAATTTTCTGCTCTGCCCATGTACATTTTTCCTTTTTTTGGTTTTGTTTTCTTTGTGAATTGAAAATTCAAATGAACATCATTATTTAGAAGCAATGCGCGCACCAACGTGGTACGCCATGTCCCCCTCTCTCTCTCTCTAAGGATGAACCCACTATTCCTGTCCTGTCAGTTTGCCACCCGCCAGCTTACTGAGCTTAGGGGCTTCACAATTTTGAAGTTTGTCTGCTAGCTGCCCCAAGGACGTTTCCCACCCACACATTGTCGATGTGACACTCAGACATCTTACACATAGCTGCCCGGTGCCCCAGGGAATTGAAGTGATGAACTCCAGCACGTTGCTGCCGCAGGTGTTCCGAAAATGAACGCACAGACCCTTCATGCAGTTCAGATACATTGACACTGTTTTGTTTCAGCTCTTTGTGTTCCCCACCTTGTTTTTTTTTTTTTTTTTTTTTGTAACAAAACACAAAGTGCCTTTTATTCCGGGGGCCATCAGTCCGGTTGCTTATCGCCGACAAGCATGAGTTCAAGCACGGAAAAGATGTAGAAAAAGGGTCAGCCTTGCCGTTCGGTACTACTCGCCTGTCAAGGGGGGGCCTGCTGCGGACCATCCCACACCCCAAACCATGGCCTCCCTGGGGGTACTTCTGCTGGTCGGGATATAGCAGAACCCCGTCACGCAGCAGAAAAGTCTCAAGGGGCGGGGCGGGGCGGG